CCCGATACGTGGCAAAGCATAAATTGATCGGTGTTTCTTTATAATCATCGCTGGACGTTGTAAGCAGTGGGATATTACGCCCTGATGTACCAGAAAGGGTAAGACTTATCTATAAAATACAGTGCAGGTTTTTCGCGTAAGTAACTTCAATGTATAAACGCAAATTTACAAGTTATTTTATTTAAATCGAACGAATCACTTCAAAATTAACAAATTCCAAATTGTATAATTGAATATCTACAAATTTTATTCATTTAAATGGAAATGAGAAAAGTAACAACAATGCAGTCACAATCGTAAAGGCTTCAAGTTAAGCGCATAGGAGTATAAACTTTCTAAACTCAACAAGCTCATGAATTATTAGTTCTTATGAAGTAGAATTTATGTAAAAAAAAAATGTATCTTTGTAAAATTGAACTTAAGCAACTGAAAACAAGATATTTGTAAAAAAGAAAAATGTATTCTGTTATATGCAAACATAATCTTAAATAATTATAAAGTGTAACATTAAGAATTTAATTACTTAATCCACATTTGAGGAATGTAAAAATATTACATAAAATTCTAAGTAAAATACCAAAGTAATCTTCACACGACTACGCTTAATAGAAATTCTTCTTCCCTTATATTTTTATTTGAAAATATTTTATGAATTTTTTATAAATTTTGTTGTATTTAAGTGAACACGAAATTGCATTTATAAAACTTTAAACTTAAAATATGATTAATTAATTTTGTTTTTTTTTTTAAAATTGAAAACATTTTATTAGCATATATTATTTGCTTATTATTATCTACGAGTATTTGTAAAGATATTATTTGATAATTATTTCTTTAAAATACATTTATTGTTATATTACAAATTGTTCAATAAAGCAAAACTTGAATTCTAAAATAATTAATTTGTTGTACGGCATCTTACTTCAACGGTGGAAACGACATTGGTTGAACGTTGGGTCCCCGCGAATACAAATTTCTTGTAAGACCTTGGACTAGGCTGAGGACTACCCCGGCTACGGAAAAGTAGGTTCATTACAACTTGAAATAACACTCCTCTCACTCCGTCTTTAGAACGTTCTTGGAAGTTCGGATTCGTAAGTACTGGTGCTGTCGTAAGACCTTCTTTCAATCTCTCAAACGCTATTCTTGCTTCGTTGGTTAGAGCGAATTTAATTAGGTTATATTTAGTCAGGCAATCGTGTAATGGTGTTGCAATAGTGGCGTAATCTCTTATGAACCTTCTATACCATCCTGTCATTCCTGCCATTATTGGTTGTGCCTAAATTTAAAAGGATATTTAGATATGCTCACTTTCAATTTGCCACCAAAAAGAACTAGCAAAAAAACCCATAGAGGCTGTAATAATGTTAATTTATTATGACATTATCTTACAATAATTGTTAACAGTACTACGCCTTTCTTTAAAACTGGAAAGTGTAATAATTATATTTGAACAATGATGTTCAGTAACAATCTATATGTTCCTTACCACTGGTGAGGGGAAACAATATGCGATTGATGAGACATTGATTGTAAATCAATAACTGGTTTTATTTAAAATTGTTTTGTCTTTTATACAAAATAATATGCAATAATAATTGCACGATGTACAATATTTACTTAAATTAACTTATTATTATTTAATTCGCACAAATTGCTTACTAAGCAACCTATGCGAGCGTTTAACTTATGACCTTATTCATAATTTTTTGTTGATTCGTCAACCAAAAAATTAGGCAACAGGTGCGAGCGATTAAGTCATGACCTAGTTCTTAGTTTTTTGTTGATTCGTCAACATTATGCCGACTCTGAAGTTGTATTACGAACTGGTTTAGATTTGGTAGCCTCAGCAGGTTGTTGATTATGTACAAGACCAAGCAACATCGTAAGTGGATGTTGATCTACGATTATTGGCTAGTGTTGATGGTATTTGTGGTTTAATGTAACATATATAATATAGTACTCCAACGAATATGATTATTATTATAGCTGTGGCCCAGATAACGCATTATATCCAATATTGATGAGTTATTATTGTTTTCCAAGATATTTCATTGACTTTGTTCATATTGTCCTGAGCATCCCTTGCGGAGTACAAAAACATGGTTGATAAGTCTTGCAACAATGGGATAATGGTTTCATTTGTAATTTTATACATTTTCCTGTCAGGCATCGTGATGTTTTCATTCGGATTAGTTTAACGTGGTGTGTGATTGATTGGAATTCTTTCATCATTCTTCCTTCAAGTTGAATAGTCTTAGAATATATTATACAATCTGGAGAGATGTGGATGATTCCCGTATAGTTCAATACTTCTTCTTCACGTTCAATATGATAAATAACATGAATTGTCGTTAAATTTGGTGTAATGAATATCGAAGCATTGGGCGTCCAAAGCTCTCTCCAAACTGGTTGTATAACTTGAAATCTTTTTGACGGACAGTTATCGAAAGATAATTTGTTATATAATTGCCTAATTACACAATTGAAACTCTGTGAAGTTACCTAGTAACATTATTGAGCTTGGTTGCCGTCTCCATTTGTCTGATAGTTACGTCAAAATATTTCTTCTTACTATAATTGATGCCAAATGCGGATGTTAACAATTCGATTTCTTGATATATATTATTATCAATTCTTTCTGGAATCGTGTTGAATCTAATGATTTCATATTCTTCTATATCGCTAATTGTGAAATAACCATAAATTATAACGTTTTCAGTATCTCGAACATATTCCAATCTGTTCATCGGAATTGGCAAGACATACATTTCTGGTCCAATTTTTGCGCAACATCGAGTTATAATGTCACTGATTTCATCATGTGAAAGGAATTCATAAATAAGACTGCGTTTCAAATATACATTGAATATCTTTGTATTTTGATTTTACTTCTCGAATGTAATTGGATGCCATTATATATGAATTAAGTACGTATATGTTCAGTTTATTTCCTTCTCCGATATCATGCCAACCTTGCATCTGACTGATAGCCTGTGTTGTTTACTGCCGCTATTGTGGATATCATGATTCTAGTATTTGATTTGGAGTTTTGGATTAATAATTTCTGGTTTTGATCCAACGTTTCAATGTCGTGATACACTTCATCGTTTACGCCAAAAAGTGTTGTTACCACTGTACCTAATATTCCTCGGAGACTTCTTGTAACTGATGATTCTGCCGTCAACAATCGACCAATGGTAGTTCTTAAGATGTGCCCTTCATGGAAACTAAATCGTCACATTGTATATAAGGATTGACAGCCTTTGACTTGGTACACAACATTAATTAATTGTTTTAATGGTTAATTGTTTTATGGTGTTATTAATGTTCCTTTGATCATGAATTATGTCACGGATTGGAAATGTGATAGTGGTTCTAAGTGTTCCTTTTTGTATTTTTGCTTTGCCTAATCCTTCAATGAAGAATTCTGATTCGGGATATGTTAATGTGGGTGTTCCTAATGTAGTTCCTAATGTGAGATATGCCAAAAATATAGCAAGAACTGTCGATTTTGATTGCCTAGCCGAACACTATTGTCGTCGTGTTCTAGGATTTCCTACAGTAGAGTTTGTCGGAACTACTTCTTTGTTTCTGACAATGTTTCCCAATGGTAACATATTTTGAGTGTCTGAATCTGCTTTGGTTGATGTTGCTTCAAATCCTTTACATTCTTTAACTGAATTTGGGAACTTCTCTAGATTTGAAGGAATATGATCTTCTTTGACATTATCAGTGATTGGCGGAGGACATATTTTTTGGATCGTACGTTTTACTATCCCTTTTCGGGTTTTAATTGTAGCAACTTAAAGCCATCTGTTCCTTTACGAACTTCTATGACTCTGCCTAGAGGCCACCTTGATGATATTAATGTTTCGTCCTTCAATAGGACTAGTTGACCAATTTCTAAGTTTGGTATTGATTTTGTCCATTTGTATCTCTGTTGTTGAACGTTTCTTATATAGTCTTGGAACCACCGTTTACAAAAGTCTTGTTTTATTTTCTGCACAATCTTCCATCTTTTTAGGCTGGTTTCTGTAAAGTAAATAAGACTATCATGCGCTGGAGTCATCAATGACGATCCCACAATGAAATGTCCTGGTGTAAGTGCATTAAGGTCTTCAATGTTGTCTGTTAATGGACAAATTGGCCTTGAATTAAGACAAAATTCGATTTGAGTTAAGACCGTACTTAATTCCTCGTTTGTCTATTTTTGGTCACCTAAAATTCTAGCTAGAAGACATTTAATGGATTTTACTCTTGATTCCCAGAGACCACCAAAGTGAGGTGAGTCAGGAGGAATAAAATGCTAACGTATACCTGTTTCGGCTAAATGATTCTCTAATTGAATCTTCTTCTACAGGTGTTGTTTGCACCTGTAAAATTGATACAATTGTCGCTATAAATATAATGTACTGCGCCACGTCTGCTTATCATTCGTTTCAGTGCTGCTAAAAATCCTTGAGATGTCAGATCTGAGGTTAACTCAATTGGCTTTATTGCCAGGCATACAAAAATAGCTATATACGCCTTATGCGTTTTAATTCCCCTGAATTGAGAGCATTTAATGAGCAATGGTCCTTCATAGTCTATGCCGCAGTGTGTAAATGGCCTTGAGAAATTTACTCTTGGTGTTGGTAAACTTCTCATTAATTGAGATTGTCCTTTTGCCTTCATCCGGAAACACTTTACGCATTTATTGATGCAAGCTTTTACAGCGGTTGTTCCACGAATAATCCAAAACTTTTTCCGGACGTAGTTTAGCGTCAATTTTAATCCTCCATGAATCGTGTTAATATGCGCCTGATTGATTATGAGTTTAGCCAAAGTACTTGTTGTATGTAAAATTATTGGATGCTTTTGGTTGTCAGAAGTATCCGCATTTCTTGATCTGCTGCCCACTCTTAGTACTCCTGCACTGTCCACAAATGGGTTTAATGAACCTGATTCATGATGAATCAGTATTTGCCGATACATTTTTCCAATGTCAGCCGTAAAAACTATTTTAAACATTCTCCACTGAAATAATAGAACGAATAAATCGTAGGGCCGGTCATCATAATACTGTTCAGTGGTTGTCCTGATGTCGGTTTTGCGGACGCGTCAAACACCACTCGAAGTTTTGTTTTCGTTCTGTCTTCTTTAATAACTGCATGATGCAGCAAATAATACACTTTTGTCTTTGGTTTCTCATTAACTTCTCTCATGTGACCCAGCTTAATGTATTCTTGCATAAAGTTCACATACTCTTGCTTTAGTGCTGGATTCTTCACAAGTCGTTCTTCTAGTGTAAAGAACCCTTTCAATGTCATCTTTCTGGACTCACCTAACATTTCTCGATCATTTTTTAGCGGTAACCTAACGATGAATCGTCCTGTTTTATCGCGGGTGCAAGTTGAATCATACTGTCTCTCACAACGCCTTTCTTCTACTGTTCTTAAGTCTGCATTTGGAATTTCCTCTAATTCCCAAAACCGTTTTAAATACTCGTCGCTGTTGCCGCAAGCCATGGTGCATAACGTTATTTTGTTTGTGATTGTACGCACTACATCTAAAGGTCCTGATAATATCCATACAAATAGTGTGTTTTGAGCCATTGGAGAGTTATCTGACCCTTTAGTTAATCCTTCTTTAAACAATTCTAGTAACACGTCCGACCCGATTAACAATTGAATTTCCTTCGGTTCAGCATACCAAGGAACTGCTAACTGCAATCCATCGATATGCGACCATTTTCCTGGCGTGAATTCTGCATTTGGCATTTTTGATGTGATTTTTGGTAACACTATTGCTTCGATATAACAGCTTTTATTCTTATCATGTATAGATTGAATTTCTAATGAGCATTTGGTTATCACGCTTGTTATTTGCTCATTGATATCTTTTACATGAGTTTGATAATTGGTCAATGGTGCTTTGAATGATCTTGCTTATTGTTCTGTTATTATACAAGATTGTGATCCTTGATCAAAAAGCGCTCGTATCGGATTAAGTTGTTTTTTAGTCCTTATAATTACCATTGCTGTTACTAGTAAAACAGTTTTTTCCTTTTGGATGTTGTACGACGCTGCCACTTCGGTCTCCGTAGTGTTCTTCAGTGTTGGCATCGTCTGTTTATTTATGTTATTTGTGAATGTTGGTTTGCCTTTAACTTGTTCAAGCATAAGATGATGGTGTTTTTTGTCGCAAGTTGTACATCTTTTTTTTTTCAAGCACAACTTACTAAAATGCCCACTCTGAAGGCAATTAAAACATAATTTGGTGCTCATAATCTTTTAATGACGTTCGGGCACATTCATATTTAGAAACTTTGAACATCGAATTAATTGATGGTTACCATTACACACCAAACATAGCGTATGTATTGTAGTTACATGCGTTTTTGTATTTACAGCTGTTGGAAAATTATTCTTATTTTCGCGACTCTGCTCTCAATAAACTCGTATAAGCTGTTCAATTTTGGTATTTGTGTTGATGCTCCTCTTGAATGTTGGTATAATTTTCTGGTTTCACCATCTAAATTTGGTAGCAGTATCTGAATTATTAGTGAATCCCAACTTGATGTGTCCACATTTAAATTACGTATACCATATAACACTTCTCTAGAAGCATCAATTAATGTTTTTAAATCCTGTGCATTTTCGTTTCTTATTACTCTGAGCGACAATAACTTATTGATAAGATTGTCCACAAGTATTGCTGGATTGTTGTATCTTTGTTTCAGCAGTTCAACTGCCGCTGTATAATTGTTAGCTGTTATTGTTAAATGATTGATGAGCCTCGCGGCTTCTCCCCGCAGACTTCCTTTTAAGTACTGAATTCTTTCTACATCCACTCTTCATATATACTCCTTCGTATATCGATTCCAGTTGAATGAAATCTCCATGGTCTATTGCATCATTGCTTAGCAAGCATTCATCGTGTAATTGTGAGATCTGTGCCAAACAATTCTTTAGTTTGCTCTCTTTGCCTTAGTATTTTCAATTCATTATTAAATCGATTCTCGATTTCATTCTGTCTTTGTTGTAACTGGCCAAAGTAATTTTTTGTGATATATTCATGATCAGGCTTCAAATTTTTTATCAGATTATCATTATTGTCTTCAAATGCATCCCATTTCTGACGCAAATTTTCCAAACGCGTTGTAAGGATGGAAATTTACACTAAATTTCCACCTACATAAACGTGCACTAAAAACAATAACAACACGAACTAAAACACACCAATACAACACAGTTTTTATAAAAACAACACATTTTATATATTTATATTTAAACATGAGAAAAGTGGACTCACTGGTAATAAATGCTGCAAATATCTGGAATTAAATAGATTAATTAATATTTAAAATATTTAGTCAAAACAATTTACCAAACCGCTTACAAGCCTTAATAACACCTCAAACTAAGCTGAAATGATATTAAAATGAAATATAAAAAAATATAATTAAATAAATTAATAATAAACTCACCTATTTATTTGTTAATTATATTTCTTATTTTTATGTTGTAAATATTCATCCAAATATTTGCACTTTTAATATTTTATTTATCGTAACAAACAAAGTAAATAAAAAACCACCACCGACCGAATGTAGTTTTAAAACACGTTTTGTAAGAATCAAAACAAAGCAGCGTTAACATAAGAAAACAACAACTGCCAAAAATATTCGCCGTAACAGAGGCTCAAAGAGAAGTAAAATGCACAATCTGAGTACCGCACAAAACATGAAATAGAAAATCAGAACGGCAAAAGCAAACAAGAATTACGTGAGATCAGCTGTAAATAAAATGATACGCTACACAAAAGCTCGGTCGAGTGTGTATATAAGACGCGCATTTTACTTATGCGAACACTTTGGTTTATAATTTCAAAGGCACATACACCTTGGAAGACCAAGTCAACTAAGCTCTAGAGGCACAAAGGCATAATAACTATTAAGACACGACAGGTGATTTCACGTCGACTGGGTCCAAAATAGTTGCTAAAATTTAAATACATACCGATATTTTATATGAAAGAAATATCGAAATCAAGGCATAATAACTATTAAGACACGACAGGTGATTTCACGTCGACTGGGTCCAAAATAGTTACTAAAATTAAAATACATACCGATATTTTATATGAAAGAAATATCGAAATCAAGGCATAATAACTATTAAGACACGACAGGTGGTTTCACGTCGACTGTGTCCAAAATAGTTACTAAAATTAAAATACATAGCGATATTTTATATGAAAGAAATATCGAAATCAAGGCATAATAATTATTAAGGCACGACAGGTGGTTTCACGTCGACTGTGTCCAAAATAGTTACTAAAATTAAAATACATACCGATATTTTATATGAAAGAAATATCGAAATCAAGGCATAATAACTATTAAGGCACGACAGGTGGTTTCACGTCGACTGTGTCTAAAATAGTTGCTAAAATTAATATATTTATAAGGATATTTTATATAAAAATATCCCAAGGAAGGAATAGTTACTAGGAAATACTGAGACACGACAGGTGGTATCACGTCGACTGTGTCGAAAGTATTTTTCTGTAATACGCAAAGGAGACCGACTGTAACGAAAATCGTTTGGAGATTTAGGCATAGTTGTGGAAAAATACTTGAATACGACAGGTGGTCTCACGCCGACAGTATATAAAGTAATTCTACAAGATCCAGAATAATCCCACCCATAAATCCCGCACTTTTTAAGGTCAGAAGAATACAAAACTAGGGGCTTGAAGGAGGAAGATATATCAAGGACATTCAAGCACTGGAACGTCTCAAAAAACATCTTTATTTAATTATTAAATTTTTTACCCTTTCGAAACAAAAAACTACATATTCAAATTTTGTTTATATATACCTATATATTTATTTTATTTTTTTTTTTGAAACATAAAGTTAATTTGTTTTACTATATTAAATATAAATTTAAAATTTATAAATTCTGAAATAAAGAAATTGAAATATAATCACAACACTTTGAATATTTTGGTCACAATCCATAAATTTATTGTGACGACGCTGGTGAGACTGAGCATACCTCATCAAATAAGCAACGACTGCAAGAAAGGGTCGTTACAGCGTATCAAAATACTGCCTTGAGTATCTTGTGGTAGAATCCTTTTTAAAATTTATCCAGATCCTCTGGATCTCGCCTTCAATTTCCTTTTGTTGTTGGATAGCTTGGTCTATCTCTTCGTTCTCCATGATGTCCTCTATTTGTATTTGATTTGTGTTTGTTGAAAGCCTCGGTACGCTTCTGCTTGTTTCACTCAGATGGTACGTTTGTATTCACTTCACTCCGATGTTAAAACCCTCGGTACGCTTGTATTTAGTTCATTCCGATGTTAAAAGCCTCGGTCCGCTTGTATTTACTTCACTCCCATGTTAAAAGCCTAGGTACGCTTGTACTTGATTCAATCTTAGACCTAAGCTCTTAGTTTGGTATATTTGAAACTCTTACCACTGGTGGAGGATATACCAAATATCCGGCTCCAAGGACCTAAATGAACAATGATGTTCAGTAACAATCTATATGTTCCTTACCACTGGTGAGGGGAAACAATATACGATTGATGAGACATTGATTGTAGTCAATAACTGTTTTTATTTAAAATTGTTTTTTATACAAAATAAAATGCAATAATAATTGCAAGATGTACAATATTTACTTAACCCATTAAGTACCAGGCAAGTTCAAACTTGGAATTTTATGGTGCAATTTTTAGAAAGGTTAAAAATATTCCCTGCAAAATTAAATTTTTTTTTTTGAAAAGTAGTTTTCCGGAAAAGTGCCGTGTGGTCAACCACACTCTGGGACCTATAGCACATTTTTTTATCTTCGATAGTACAAACATTTTGATATGTGTTTTGTTCGCAAATATGTTATTAATTACTTTTATGGTGAAGTAAGTATCATTTTAAATTGTATAAAATACGTGTAAGTATAGAATTTTATGTTTTATGCTTTTCAAATATTTTTTAATCAAAAAATATATTTGAATTATTACATATGTATTATATTATGTAAAAAGAAATAAGTTTATTTGCATTGTCTTCGATCAATGTAATATCGTTTATTTTCATAGAAAATTTTAAAACAATTTTCTACATGACCAATTAAATGGCACTTTTCATATATAAAAACTGTGGCTTTGGTGAATTTCCCGGAAGATAAACATCTTCTACAGCACTGTGACTTTCCTTTTTCACATCATCGTAAGCGGTAGCTTTTGTAATGAACATCGAGTTCTTTAATGGAAGACGAAGGTTTCTGGCAATCAAATTCTTGAAGTCTAACTGAGACATCGGTTTTGTGTTGGTAGAAGCAGCGACAAAGCAATTTAGTTTTCAAGCGTTTACTACAGCACTATCTAAACATTGTACTCATAATGGCCACCACCTCTTTTTGCTTCTATTCCCGATACGATAATTACCAACTCCATTATCATATAAATCAGCGCCGCCCATATGTCGGTTGTAGATGTTGATAACTTGAGGCTAAGGGACACCAACCTTTTTCTTCTCTCTGCTATAGCGTTGTACATATACTATGGGTTCAACGGAATCACACAGTATATTGCAATGGATACTCACAATGGCTCAATAATTCCCTTACAACAAATGCACCGATTTCCAAATGTTTGTTGTATTTGTCAGTTGCACTGGAGTGTGTCAGAAACTGGAAGATATACTCATTATCCAAAGAAAGGGTTTATAGCTTATAGCCGAAACGTATTGGTTTCACAATTTCCA